GCAGCATCACCCCCCAGGTGCCCCCAGGATCCAGGCTGGGACCATCTCCGGCCCCGCTGGCACCCCCTTCTCTGGCAGGAAGGCACCAAAGTAGGACTCGGGAGCTCCCCCGCCTCCCCAGCTCGGGCCTGACAGCTCGGGAGTGATGGGAGAGCGTTTGGAGCGTTTCTCCCGCGCTGCCACTTCTCTCTCCTCCCTTTCAGCACCACCCACCGCGTTGTCACTCCCGGCAGCAGGGACTTTCCTCAGGCCCACGAAGGTCCCCGAGCTGTTACCGTGATGCAAACACCGAGTACAAGGTTCCTCCTTGATGTGAGGAATGAAACGAGGTCGGAACTGGAGGGAAAAATGTTCATTTTGAGGTGGAGCTGAGGATCTCCCTGTTTCCCTGGAGCCGCTTCCCTGCGACTCCCTGGGGAGGGGAGTGGGGTGTCCTGCAGATCTCAAGGGGGGAACTGTGCCTTTCCCTGAGCACAGGGTGCTCTGCTGGGCTGCTCCATGGAGAAGGAAGGACACCAACATCCCCGCTGAGGTGTCACCACATCCCCATGGCACAGCATTCCCCTTCATCCTGCCCAGGGCGCTTTGGGAAGGAGCGGCCGAGAGGCTCCTCCTCAGCTGTGGCAAATATTGAGGGGTTTTATAACGGGCACTAACAGATTTAGAGCCTGTCGTGGCTCCAGACGGGAATTTGGAGGGGTGGGGAAGGGAAAAGCACTGTCAGTCACGGGGCTCCCGGGGAAAACCCAGCGTGGCTGTCGGCTCACAGGCACTCGGGTGATGAATTCCTTAGGTGAGCGAACAATTTTGTCTCCTAATTACACCCATAAAGCAGAGCCAGGCCCAGATTCCTCCTCTCGTGTTTTGCTTTTCATGTCGAGCCCCTTTCCCCAGTGAAGGAGCTGCTTAATTAGAAATTAACAGGGTTGTTAGAGTAATTGGGAGCAGGAACGGGCTAGGAGAGGCTTATTAGCAGGAGTGTGGTGATGGTTTATTAGCAACCCTGTGGCTGTGGGGTTTTTCTGGTGCTCCAAAGCCATGGGGAGCTGCCCTGGAATGAGGAGAGAGCCCAGAACTGAGAGGGGAATTGGTGTGGCCACGATGGGACCCATGATAGGACCCTTCCCACGGCATCATGTGGGCTCTGAGCAGGAATCTGAGCCCTACAAACAGGCACCTGTGGGTGCTGCAGCTCAGGGACGAGCAGGGAGAGGGAAAAGGGGGAGAAGAGGCAGGAAGAAGCCCCCCAACCCTGTTTTCACCAGCCCAGCAGGCTGCAGGCATCACCTGGGGGCATCTCAGCCAGCTCTGCCACCCTCCAGGGGCCCTGTGGTCCCCCTGCCCTGTCCCATGGGATGGGACCTCGGAGCTGCAGGACCCCTGTGAGCCCCTGGCATTCCCACCAAAGCCTCTCCAGGGTTTATTTATCCCAGAGCCGCATCCCTGGCGCTCTCTCTCCCTATATTTGGCCCTCGGATGGAGAGAGATTTCCCAGCCGCCTGTGCCTGTGCTCAGTGTCAGTGTTTCCATGAGAAACCCCGGGGGGCCAATCCCGCTCCGCTCACCGGCACAAAAATCCTCCCCGTGGCTTCCAGAGGAGGGACCCTGGATTTACCCCCCCCGGGATGAGATCAGGATCTGGCCTCGGGTTTTGATGGGTTTGTAACTTGGCTGATACAACTCGGGCTGATTTAATTCATTTTGGGCTAAAACTCCACCTACAAGTTCCCAGCCTGGGAGGCATTAAAGGCAAATTAATACAAATATTATATACTGGGTTTAAAGGGAACTCATCAGCTAATCCTGATTTTTTTTTTTTTTTTCATGGAAGAACCTGGTGATGTTTTCTATTTTGGTGTTATTTATTTTATGTTGCTGCTGGTCTCCCTGAGGCCAGACACTGCCCAGGCCCAGGACTGCTCTGCTTTGCCTCCAGAGCATCCAGCAGAAAAGCATTTGGAAAAGAAAAGAGGTGCCAAAATATGGAGGACAGCTGAAATTCCCATCCCAGCAGGGCTGCCCGAAGGGTTCAGGTCCCTGAGGGTGGGCCCAGGTGCTGCTGGTCACTGTGGGAGTTTGGCTCCTTTTCCAAGCAGCAGGAATTGCCTACAGGGAGGTGTGGAAGGAAAATTCCTCTTGGGATGGGATGGGATGGAGAACCTGCTCCTCTTCCAGAGGGGCCTGCAACGGGTGTCAGGTGCAAGGAGGGGAGAGGAGCAAGGAGCACCATCCAGGCATCTCTGCCACGAATCCCTCCCATAGCCAGGGCTCAGAGCATTCCTGGCTGATCCCAGCTGGGAAAGGTGATGTGTTCCCCACACACGTGGCCAGTTCTGGGCGAAGATAAGGGAATAACTGCCTATCCAGCCGTGATCCAAGGCGGATGGGGAGGCCAAAGGCACAGCACAGAGTGGGCAGCCCTGCTGGGGGGGATCCAGCATCTCCCTTGGAGCTTGTCTGGGAGCACCTGCCGAGAGCCAAAGGAGCAACCTGTCCCCACTGCCACCCAAAAATCCTCCTGTGCCCATTGCCACCCCCGTGGCTGTGGCAGCCAGAGCCCTGCTAATCCTGGGAGGTCCCTCCCTGCAGCTCCAGGCTGGACAAGTGGGAGCTTTGTTGGCTCAAGGGCTGTGTCCTTCTCCTTCCTTTTCCGGCTGTGCCTGGCAGAGCAGTGTGGGGACACCCCTGTCACCTCTCCAGGGAGGGCAAACCCTCCTGTCCCCCCCCAGCAGGAGCAGGTGGCCTGAGGCTGAAGGGGATGGAGCAGCAGGGGTGGCACCAGCAAGCACCAGGGGCAGCATCCTGGGAAACAGGGGCACCAGGAGGGGCTCCAGAGGAGACCCCAAAATACTCCATGAAGGAATTCTTCCCGTGTTCTCCCCCTCTGTGCCGCCGTGTGTGGGGACAGGTCGGTGCTTGTTTGGAGGTGATGCTCCTGCTCCTGCTCCAGCCAGGATTTTCACTTTTCCTCCGTGTGCTTCTCCTTAGCTATAAAATGGAAGGGGCTCTCAGCCTGTTTATGGCTCTCTGTGTAACAGGAACACACCAGGCAGGAGCTGCTGAGCACCAGCTCTGTAATTGCCGCCTGCCACTGGATGGGAAGCACGTTTTCCAAATGGATTTTGGCTGGTTCCCTCGACAGCAAGTGCCCCAGCTGTAAAACCTGCCTTTCCCCGTTTCAGCCCAAGTCCAGGAGTCCAAGGAGGCTGCAAATTCTCAGCATTGCTGAACTGCCCTGCTAACAACAGCTTCCCTGAGGCAGGAAGGCTGATTTCCTTTCAGGAGTCCAAATCCAGATGGTCAGAGATTCCTTCCAAGCTCAGAAAACCTGTTTTAAAAGGCCATTATGTCTCAATAGCAGTTTTGCATCCCGGCCCGTTGGAAGCACTGCCTGCAGGCTGCTCCACCAGCTCTTTTCCAAGCTGTTCTGTGGTCACTGAGACACAATCTGGGCAGTGCTGACTGATTCTGGTGGAGGGGGGGCCAGACACCGGCTAAAATCCGTGTGTTTATTCCCACTTTCTGTGTTGGGCAAGTGTGGAGCCGTTAAATCGAAGGTACCTGAGCTTGTTTTTTGAGACACAAGGTTTGCTCTTGTCATGGGAGTCTCCAGCCCTGGAGGGTTTTACGTTCAGAGCAAATGACCCCCTCAACTCCCCAGGAAGATGCCAAGGACCCCACCTTGAGATGGGGGGCATTCCCAGCCCAGGGCACTTTCCTCCCCCCTGCTGCAGAGCCCAGGGGCAGGTCGGTGCCTTCTGTGCTGTGCAGGATGTGGAGACTGAATTACACCCAACCCGGGCAGCTCTGGTGGCACTCAGGTGACTTCAGATAATTTCCCCTGCCCCCAAACGGCCCCTGGCTCAGCCGAGTGGAAGGGATTTTACTGGCCGTGGAGAGCATGGGAAGGAATTCCGGATCCACACAGGGCTCGGCTCTCCCGGCCTCTGCAGCACCACCTGGGAGCGCTCAGGAATGCGAAATTCTCGAGGTGCAGGCCCTCAAGGGGGGAAAAAACCGTTCCGAGTGCTAATTAGGGCTTGTGCGTGCACAGATGTTCCACTGGTTTAACTCGAACCCGCGGCGTGCCCGGACGTGGGGCTGCGGGGAGGGCGAGGGCCGAGTTAAGGTGCCCACGCCCGGCACTGCTGCCCCGTGCCCCGATGCCACCGTGCACGGCCAGCACGGCCGCGGCGTGTCCACCCCTCAGGGACGATTCGATGAGGATTTTTATCCCGGTTCCTTTAAAAAAAGGGCTGAGGGTCGGATCTGCCCAGGGGGGGTTCTTCATGCTGGATCCTCTGTGGCCCACGGGGTGTGTCCCCTCCTCGAGGGGACAGTCGCTCTCAGGGGGTGTCAGACTGGCACACCCCAACCCCTGGGCATCAACCACAGTGCCCACGAGGAACCCCAAAGCCACTTTAACCCGCAAGGAACCCCGATTTTGCCACAGGTCACGGTGCTACTCCTGCCTTCCTCACACTTGGACTGGGGAGGGGTTTGGGCACGAGGATGAGCCCTCACTTCTTGGGGTGCCCACGCTTGGGAGTGCATGGGTAGTGCCAGAGCTCCCCGGGGGGGAGGGCGGAACACACGTTGTGGTGCCCCCACATTGCCCAGAGTGCACACACTGCCCAGAGGGGTCCCCACAATGCCTGGGGGTGCACAAACTGCCCAGGGGGTCCTCATATTGCCTGGGGGTGCACAAACTGCCCAGGGGGTCCTCATATTGCCCGGGGGTGCACAAACTGCCCAGGGGGTCCCCACTCTGCCTGTGGGTGTTCCCACACTTTCTGGGGGTGCACCCCCCCACTCTGCCTGTGGGGTCCACCCACTGCCCGGGGTTTCACCCCCCACTCTCCGTCTCCTTCCCGTCCCCCTTAAGCAGCCGTCGGGGCGTGCAACCACCTTAAGGGAGCCCCTCCCCCGGCGGGCTGGGACGAGCCCTCCCCCTCCCTCCCCCCGTCCCCTCCCTCCTCGGCCCGGCCCCGCACGGCCCCGCACGGCACGGGGGTTGCCATGACAAGCATTTTCTCCCGTTAGCTCCGGGACCGTTCCCCCTCCATCCCATGGCCAGCCGGGGGGGCTCCGCCGCCAGCCGGGCGCCGCGGGAGCTGAGCCGGTGAGTGCGGGGGGGGGACCCCGGGGTGGGGTCCGGGGGTCCCGGGAGGGGTTGAGGTGGTGAGTGCATGGGGGGAGTCACGGGAGTGCGGTGGGGGGTCCCCGGGGGGGGTTGTTTGTAGGTGAGGGGTGCACAGGTGGGTGAAAGCACCGCGACCACCGCCCAGCCCGGGCGGGCTGGGCGGTGGTCGCGGTGCTTTCACCCACCCCAGTTCGTCCCAGTGCAGCAGGTGGGATGGCGGGGCTTGGCGCGGGTCCCCAGAGCAGGGGGGGGGTTGGCGTGGATCCCCCCCCACCCCGGTCCCACGTGGGAGGTGGGTGCGATGGTGGGATCGCCGCGGTCCGTCCGCTGTGGTGCGTGGGGGGCTGCGAGGCGCTGCAGCCCCCAAACATCTTGGGGAGGAGGGGGGGGGAAACTCCCTCAGCCCCCCGATATCTGGTGTGGGGAGGACTCTCCGGTCGTATCCTGCAACTTGTTGCCTGCCCTTGGGGGGGGGGGGGGGCGTGGGGCTCCCGGTCGCGCGTGCTGTGGGCTTTTTGGAAGGCAGCGTGTTGTGGCATTGCGGGGAGGAGGAGGAGGGTGATGGAGGAAGGAAGAGGCGGGGGAAGGGGAGGGGGGCTTGCGGCAGCCCAAGGACAGAGCGGGGAAGGTGCTGCGTGGGTGGTTTGGGTGCTTTTCCCCACCCGTGGGGCAGGAGGGGGGCTGCTCCCTGGCTCGGGTGGGGTGTGCGTGGGGCTGGGGGTGGCATGCGGGGTGGGACGCAGGGAGGGTGGGATGCGTGGGGTTTGCCCGTGCCAGGGCTGGGCACGTCTCCCTCCTGCCTGCACCAACACAGCCGGTCAGATCCACGGCACAAAACAGGAGTGGGGAGGTAAAAAATAAATAAGGAAATAAATTAGAAGCCCAGCCAGGCTCTGGCCTCGTCCACCTCCTCCTGCCTCTGCCCCCAGCCCTCTCCCTGCATCCAAGCCCGGGCTGTGGAGCCTCCCAGCATCCCTGGCCTGGCTCGGTGGGGCTGTGCCCCCCGTGGGGTCCCCGGCGGTGGGGGTGGGGGGACCGCGTGGAGCTGGGTGGTCCCTCCCTGCTTTGCCAGAGGCAAGTGGAGATGTTGGGAGGGGAGGAGGGACAATAGGTTATTGTGCTCTTATCTCTGGAGACCTGAGCTTGGGTGGGGGTTTGGATTGCGAAGCTCAAACCAGTGCAGCCAGTTTCTGCCCGTGGACGTGGACAGGCAGCCCTGGACGTGGGTGGACGGGCAGGACCCGGGGGCAGCGAACTGGGGTGGAGGTGAGTGCTCGGAGCACCCCACGGGGCATCCAGAGCCGTCCTGGGGCTGGGGGACACCGAGCTGTGCCCCCACTCCGGAGGGGCGCGATGCCACGGCCGTGGGCTGTGCCGCTGCCTGCGCCCTGCCAGGCTCCAGACACTGCCCTCAATCTTTCGCTTCCCTGAGCACTGAAACGCACCTAAATTATTAAATCATGAGCGAGAGAAGCTGACGCCCCCGCGCTCCGCCGGCCCCACCCCGCCGCGCCGCGGGGATCCCTCCCCGGCTGCCCCCTTGGATGACCCTCCCCGGAAAATCCCCCCCAGCCCCTGGGGTGGCTGGGCTGGGTGCTGGGTCAGGGGGTGCTCCTCGTGTCAGGGCAGTGAGGGCCCTCCCGGGCTGAATGGTGCGGGCTGGGTGGTCTTGCAGGCCTCCCAACCCCTGCGTGTCCTGTGACTCCCCACGGCCAGGCTGGATGCACTCGGATGTGGAGGTGCCACTGCTGGGATGGGGCAGGTGGAGCTGGGAAGCTCCCAGGGCACGGAGGCAGAGCTTCCCCGTCCCCCGGAGCGGCCCCCCGGGTTCAGGCTCCATCCCCATCCCACGGTCGCCGCGGGGGCTGCGCTGGGAGCAGCCCCGTGCGAGCCCTGCGCGAAGCCTCGGCTCCTTCCCGGCTGGAAAGGGGATTGCTGGCGCTGGGAAGTGGTGCGAGCGCTGCAGGTAGAGGCTGGAGAGGGCGAAGGGTGTTGTTGGGTGTTGGTTTTTTTTTTTTTTTCGGCTGAGATGATGACGGAGGGAATTCCCTGCGCTGCCGGCTCGCCGCTCGCGTGCCGTGGGTCCGGATCCGTTCCCGGGGGATCTGTTGCCGTCGCCTGCGCCTCTGGAGCCGGGACCCGCCATGCCGGAGCCCCCGGGCAGAGGAGGGGCAGGGAGGGGTGAGCCGAAGGGTGGCACAGGTCCTTGGGCAGGATGAGTAAGAGCAGGGAGGGACGGCTGCTCCTCTCCACTATTGTTTTGCAGTCGAAAGCGCCGGGGTGGAGCTGAGCCTGGAGTTTCCCCTTGTCCCCAAGGCTCCCTGCCCTGGGAGACGAGCCTGCTCCTCCCCTGCCTGCCCAGGGAGACGAGCCTGCTCCTTCCGTAGCTGCCCCTCGCCGGGGCTGCGGATTCTCTGCGCGCTCCCTGCTCCTCTCTGGGGTTGGTTTTTTTCCCCTTTTCCTGTTTCTCCTCCCCGCTAGGCCACGAGCGGAGTTTTCCCGCAGTGGTCGCACGCGCCTGTTCCAGCAGCACAGGATGGAGCCTGCAGGGACTGGGGGGACCCAAATCTCTGCAGCGGGGACTCGCTGCCGCCGCCTGTTTGCTGCTGCTGCTGCTCCCCGTATCCGCTGCTCCTCGCGCAGGGCCCAGGGAAGGGCTGGCAGCTCTGGCTTCCTCCTCGCCCACGGCTCCTCCCCGCCGGGGACGGCTGGGCTGTGCTTGGGAAAGGAGCCGGAGGAAAGCCTGGGTTAAAGCCCCGGGGATCCTGCTTGGCTCCGAGTGCAGCTGTGGCAGGGACCAGGAGCCCGGGGAGGGATGTGGCGACGCTTGGTGTGACCATGGCAATGGGATGCAGGTCCTTGGATGGGGAGGTGGCTGATGCTCAGTGTGACCGTGGCAATGGGATGCAGGTCCTTGGATGGGGAGGTGGCCTCTGCAGCACAAAGAGGTGACTCCTCCTTGGTGTTCCCCAATTCCTGTGGCTCGCTGGTGACTGCTGGGAGTGGATCCTGGCAGGGTGAGGGATGCTGTTGGATGCCTGCTGGCTGCCTGGAGCATTCCTGCTCAGGCTGGATGGAGGCAGAGGTGTCATGTAGGTGGCGATCCCGTGTGCAGAGGAGGAAATAGACTGGTGAGGGTGAGCTGGAAATTTGACCCCATCCCTCTCACCCTGGTGTTGTGCAGGGTGGGAATAAAGACCCATCTCATGGTGCAGGTGATGGAGATGTTTTTGGGGGAAGCAGCTTTGATGGGAAAGGGTGGCACTGGACAGGGAACGTGTTTCAGGGTGCGGGTCCAGCCTTGGGGTCCCTCGGAGCAGTTGACTGTTCGTTCCCTGTCACCTCCTGCCAGCGCCGAGGCCGAACTAATGAAACCTCTGACTTTGATGTTTTAATTAGTTGCTTTTGGCTTTAATGCGGAGGGATAATAGAGTTTCCATGGACTTATAAAACCTGCCCCTCTGTTTATTCATTAGAAAATGGAAAGGGGAAAAAAAAGAAACAAGATAACCCTGGGTAGGAGAGGAGGAAAACGAAGCTTGAGCCCTGTGGAACACATGACATCCCGCTGGGGTGTCACCCACTCGGCTGGTGACTCTCTTAAAGCACTAATTAAGCAACTTAAATCCTGGGAGAGCTCTCTGTGAGTAACAGATGAGTTCCCTGTCCTCCTGCATTTGTGAGCTTCTGGGAGAGGTCTTGGATTTAAATGTGGGAAGCTGATGCACAGCGATGTGCCCCGGAGAGGGTCAGGAATTGGGGCTGTGGGAATCCTGGACAGGAGAATCCCTCTGCCTGTACCACCTCAGCAGGGAGCGAGGGGCTGGCAAGGGGGGACGGGTCACTGCTGCCCAGGAAGGTGGTGAGGGCTGTGGGGAGCCTGGTGGGATACCAGGTACTCCTGGGCTGCTTCCCTGGGATGTCTGGGCTTCTGGATCATGGCATCCAGTCCTAAACGCTGTAAGAACCAGGAGAGTCCATGCTGGGGAGGGGACACAAAGCCATGACACCAGCCCTGCACGTGTTCCTCTGCCCAAATCCGGCAGCTAGATCTCTTTGGAGCGAGGGAAGGGGCATGGGAAGGATCTCCCGTTGGGCAGTGCCAAGGGGCAGAGCTCCTGGTCTCGGCAGGCCCTTCCTTCCCTGCAGCAGGAGGGTCTGGGGGAGCCCCTGGGGACACCCCCGTCCCCTAATGCAGGGTGTGGGCCCATCCCCTGCACCCCCCGGGCCGGGACCTGGCGGGTCCCCGCAGGGTGAACTCCTGGCCAGGGCAGCAGAAAAGCCAAGCCCAAGGTTTGGCCAGTTGTCGGTGGTTTTGTGCTGACGGGGAAACTTTTCCCTCTCCGCTTCCATGGCAGGGATGAGTCGGCAGCTGGGCTGAGCCGGCAGAGGAGCCAAGCGCAGCCTCGGGGGTGCCGGGGACGAGTCTCCAGCCCCCCCTGCTTTTATTTGGTGCCGTATCCCGGTGTTTTCCTGCCGCCGGAGCGGCCGGGGGCTGTGGGAAGCGGCGAGCCGCTGGTGTGCCAGGGCAGGGAGCGGCGCGTAGGAGTCCCCACCCGGAAGAGTTTGTCCGGCGGGGCCGCGCAGGGAGGAATCCGATCCCTCCTTTTCCCAGGCTGGGATCCCGGCGCGCTTGGCTTTCCGTGGCCTTGGCCGGCCCCGCCGCTCCCGAGCCCCCCGCCAGGGTCCGGCCTCCCGCTCGGGCTGGGGAGGGTCCCGCAGCAGCGATCCCGCGCCGCTGACACCTCCCTTTGTCTCCAGCGCCGAAAGGTCAGCCCTGCCTAACTGAGCCCTGCCTAACTGAGCCCTGCCTAACTCAGCCCTGCCTAACTCAGCCCTGCCTGACTCCGTTAAGGAGCTGTAAATAATCCCCGATCCTTCTGCCGCGGGGCCGCGGCAGCCGCCGGCTCCTGGGCTGAGCATCCTCCTCCTCCTCCTCCCTGGGGGAAGGATTCGTGCCAGGGGAGGTGATGCCAGCC